CTTTTTTTTTTTTTTGTTTCTTCCAGGTCCTTGGGAGCAAAGGTTTTGATTGATGATAATCCAAGATATGCAATCGAGTGTGCTGAAGTTGGGATCAAGGTTCTTCTTTTCGATTATGAGAATTCGTATCCTTGGTCCAAGATGGTTAATCGACATCCTCTTGTCACCAAGGTCCACAACTGGGAAGAGGTGGAGCATCAGTTAGGATTGTGGATTACGCCATGAGAAATTTATCCCAGAACTAGGTTCATGAGTCATTGATTCATTAGTAGTAGATTTTTTTTTTTTTTATTTTTAATTACCGAGTATTATTATTATTATTTTTTTTTCAATTTGTTAAGAACAATTTATTTCTCTTTAAAAATGATGATAAATCTTTTCTTTTTGTTTGATAAAAAATTTAGATTTAAAACTAACTTTAAACGGGACAGATAACGAAGTGAGGACCATGCTTTCCTTACCGGCCTCATATCCGCTTCTGAGCAATGATCCGCACCCGCGCCTCACCCCATTTACCCAATTAGGCAAATAATTCGGACCCATTCGAGACGGTACTGTGAATATCGCGTTGAACAAATTCTTTTGTCATTCCGACGCCCCGTTAGCAATGAGAAAAGTGGGAACTGCCTTACAACGATTTGGAGTTGTCTGTCAGACTTTGTTCGACTTCTTTGGGGTCTATCTGATGGCAAATTTAATAATATTCATTTTAGCTAAAAATAATGCTAGTTGTCGATTTTTGCTTAGGGTCTGTTTGATGGCAAAAGTGGAAAAGAATTTCAATTTCATGTTAGTTGGAAAAATAAAAACCCGCCAAACTCATAGGAATTCGTTTTCCATGAAAACAAAGAAAATACAGTTTAAAGTGGTTGGACCTTAGAATTCGATTTTCATTTCCACGTTGAACGTCCAAAGTGAAATTCGTTTTTCTCGAATGTGACATTTTCTATGAAAATGTGGCAATCAAACAAGGCCTTAGTGAAAATTACATAAAACCAGATTTTTTAAGTTATTATTTAAAAAATCAGATTTGAAATTTTTTGTTCAAATATCAGATGATAATTTAATTTTTAATATTAATAATAATATTATTAAATTAAATTAATTTACCACATTCACTTTACGCATCTCACAATTCCTAATTCATTTTGAAAATCATCTATCTCCCGGTTGCTTCATTTCACGCGACGAATCTGCTCCGATGACTCCTCACGACTCTAACTTCAGCGACTCGTCATGATGCAGCGACAACGACTTTCCTTCGTGCGCGGGAGTTCATTGCCACTGCGCACGATGTAGATCCATTCTTCTTCTTCTTCTTCTTCATCTTCTTTTTTTATTTTTATTTTTGAGCAGTGCGGTGGTGTGATGGTGTGTTGGTTTTGCAATTGCGGCGGTGGTGAAGGTCTGTGATACAGTGCGGTGTAGTGATGTGATCGAAAAGCTCTGTGCTGTGTGGTGGTTGGGTGCGATTTTGGTTGAGCGTGGTGCTGCATGCAGTGGTTAGGTTGTGTGCGGTGGTATGTCCGTTGATTGGGTTGGGCGCGGTGATGTGTAGTGGGTGTTATGTTCGGTGTGGTGGTGATGGTGTGTGGTGGGGTTGTTTTGGTGGTGATTTTGTGGTGGTTGTGGGTATGGTGGGTGGTTTTGGAATTGTGGGGTGGCAGCGGCAAAGTGTGTGGTGGTGGTGGAGCTGATGGCGATGATGGTGAGTTGGCATGGTGGTGATGACGAAGACGGTGGCCGCGGCGATGGAGATGACGGTGGAGTGGGGAGGAAGTGTGTGATCATTATTCGAGTGTTGTGACAATTGGTTAATTTGTGACCTAAAAGAATGTGTGATTGTGATTAAATTTGAAATCGTGATGATAATTTGGCATGTTATGACCAAATAATTCGTTGATTTGTGATCGAGAAAATAATTTGTGACCAATTAATTTGATAATTTGTGATCCTGAAATAAACTATAATCTATAAATTTTATGATTTGTGATTGATAAATAAATTGTGATCTATTAATTATTTGTTTTGTGACCGATGAATAAATTATGACAAATGAAAATTTTGATCTGTAACTGTAAACTAATTTATGACTTATTTTTTGTTTTGTGATCTAGAAATAATTTGTGATCAATTAATTTGATAATGTGTGACCAATAAATAAGTTGTGACTCATAAGTACGTACATGCGACCATTAATTGTATAATTGTGACCTTAATATATTAATTAATAAAATATTTTTTATTATTTATTTATCACCCGAGTTTGAATTTTGAAATTTTAAACCTGAAATTTGAATTAGTCATAGTTAATACTTGAGTTGTGAATTTTTCACTTTTACCTACCTTTCATGTGGAGATTGAGAAATAGCCCATAAAAAGCCCATGGGCCTGTATCTCGTGGCGGCTTGAAGCAGTAACAGACTGCCTTCATCCATGAAACATTGTCTTACATTAGGGTCCAAATTAGGCCCAAGACAAATAACTATACATAAATTTTGAGGAAATTACACCCAGCCCTAGTTTTAGATTTCCATTTTCATAAATCAAAAATCAAGTTTCATAATACAAAAGTCAGGTTTTAATTAATAATTTAATTTTTTTATATTTTTATTTTTATATTTTTATTTATATACAATATAAATTAAATTNTATTTTTATATCTATATACAATATAAATTAATTTAAATACCATCCCAACCATATCTCCCTAATATCAAACCCTAAAATCAAACCCCTCTCCACTCTCTCTGCTCAGACGTCGTCGCCGCCGCCTCCTCCTCCTCCACGACAGCCGACTGTTCTTCCCATCGTCGGAGAAATAAATGCTGCTGCCTCCACCTTCTCTATTCTCACTGCCGTTTACTCTACCTATTCTCATCTTCTCCTCTCTGTCTCTCCACCCAAACCGCAGCACGCGGTTGTTCAGTAGCGTTGCAGATGTAGTTGAAATTGTGCGGTTGGTGGTGAGTGTTCTCGTATCCAATGGTCTCAATGTTCTGTAGCATTGCTGTTGCGGTTAGCGTTGCAGATCCAGCCTCTTCGACGCTGCTTCGTTCCTGTCCATCCAATTTCTCCATCATCATCTCCAATTTCTCCCTTATGCAGTCAATTATTGTTTCCAATGACGCTGCCCGATCGATAAGATTCAATTCCCCAGTGTCAATTAGAAAATTCTTGGGATTTTTGTGGTTGGCTATGGCGGTTCTAGCAGCGGGTTTTTTGTTGTTTAGTGTTTTGAGATCGTGGTTTTTCTTATTGTTGGAGTGTTAGTGGCAGCCGTGGTTCCGTGTGTTGGTGTTGGTGGCATCGTTTTCGCTGCCGTCGTGGTGATGGTGAGGTTGTGGTGGTTTTCATGGTGGATGTGGTTTTTGGGGGTGGTGAAAGTGGTGGTTGAAGGGGGTGAGGTTTGATTTGTTTGAAATGTTGATGTTACTATTAGGCGGCGACGGTGGTGGTGCCGCTGGTAGAGGCAGTGGGCAGCGGCGAACGGTGGTCAGAAATGACTTGTTTGTTGGTGGTCACAAATGATTAGGTTATTTGTGACCAATAATTTGGTTAGTTTGTGACCAATAAATAATACGTGACTAATGCATTAGATAAACTGTGACTTAGTGACCTAAAAATTTGTGACCAATAATTTAATAAATTGTGACCTAAATATAATTTATGTTTGTGACCATAAAATAAGTGGCGTGACTTATGAATTTTGTGATTAGTGACCGATACACAAAATGAATAAATTGTGATCTATGAAAATTTAGAATTGTGACTTAAATTTTTTTGAATTGTGACCAAATTACATATATTTGTGACCTTAATATATTTGCCGGAATCGGAGCAGTCGTCGGAACGATCATCGGAATAATCGCCGGAGAAGAGTTGTGACCGGAACGGTGATCGGAATAGTCCCCGGAACGGTATGGGTGGTGGAGGTGGGGTGGGGATAATTATGTTATATTATAATTAAATATGTAATAATAAATTGATTTAATACTTTATTATTTCATAAATTAAAATTTAAAAAACCTGATTTTTGGAAGTTCAAACTTGTTTTTGTACTTTTGAAATGGTGTAAAGTAAACACCTTAGAAATGTATTGTTCCCATAAATTTTCCCTAAATTAAAAAAACTTGGGCCTGTAAATGATTCTGACTCTGAAACTGCAATAGACTACTCACGACTTTTGTTATTTAACCCCCATTTGAGCCACCTTTTTATTTCATTAAAATGAAAATATGATCGTTATCCATCACATCAACATTTAAATTTAAATTTTCTATCACTTGTGTGGNCATTTAAATTTAAATTTTCTATCTCTTGTGTGGGCCCCAATAACGACTATATTTTTCATTCTCATTCTACAAAAAGATGGCTCAAACATGGCCTTAATTGTAATGAACGTTATCAACTTTTACGTAATTTGCACTTATATGCCCAAGTCTTTCAACGCATTCTTATTTTTCACTTTTAATTAAGTAAATTATGATATCTTGTTTTTAATGATGGTTTTTATCCAAATGTTCTGATAGAGTAGTATGAAATATTATTATCCAAGTCAATTTTTTGTATTTATTATTATGTTACTTATTTAAAATTATAATAGACAAATAAGTTTTTTTTTACTCCATATTAACGATTTTTTTGTTCGTCATTAGGGATAAAAATGCTAATTAATAAAAAATTAAGAATAAAATACGATAAAAAAATATTGAGGTTATAATTGTAAAAATAAACAAAAAAATATATATATATTGTAACAAATGATCTCTGTCTATATGAATATTCGATTGTGTGACATGTACAAAATGACTTATTTAATGATCTAAGTACACACGATGTAAAGAAATATAATTGGATCAGAATTTCTTCAACCAATTGAAAAAAACTTCTCTATTTCTGACACATCATCTGTACGAAAATCATTATGTAATTTCTTATTACAAATAGCACTGTTCATGAATATTTTAGACAAAATAGAAGAATATTCGTTATTGTGGGTAAGAGCAGTTGGGCAATGGAAGCCAACTATAGTCATGTGCAAGAAAGTCAAACCAACAAAGACCAACGAAAAGGTCAAAACAATTGCCAATGATCACGCACGACCATGAAACAAAAATAATCATGAGAAAACAAGCGACACCAGAATATTACAACAAAAGAATTTAGAGAGAGACACAGGAGAAGAAGGAGAGAGAGATAGAGAGAGGGGACAAAGCAATCTCTCTTCTTTGGATCTTTCAATCAAGAAAAATACCCTTTTCTTCTCAATTTTAGCAAAAATTAATTCTTTGATTTTTTCTTCAATTTATGAAAGGATTCATATACTATGATATCATAGTGTTTGTTTCTTGATTTTCTTTCTGCAAATTATGAGTAGGATTCGCGTTAATTCGTCTCCTGAATTAGCTGCTTCTCAGCATTATGATGATTCTGCATTAGAAGGTAAATCACCTTACAAACCTGTTTATTTTCCCATTTTTTTTCTTCACGATTGACCCCTTTTGATCATTACAAAATAACTGAAATATGGTCTCGTTTAGTAGATACAAAGACATTTATTTAAATTATCTTCAACTTGCTTCCTGATTCATTTCCTTTATAAATGTCATGATATGTGCACTCTGGTTCATAAATAGGTGGTGACGATTGTCAAATATAGATCGCATCGAACCTTCTCGTCTAAAAGCTTAAATTAAGAGCGGGCACGAATTTATTTATTTGTTTAAAATTTATCTTTTCTTGTCTCTGCCATTCAAAAAGTGACAAGATTTGTTTAATTGCCAATTTTTTCCCATTATATCTCAAATTTGTATTCAATATTATTTACAATGTTCAGGAGTCGCAGCAAATGTGAAGTTATTGCTGAAACTAATCCAAGATCACAAGGAAGCTTGCAATAAAGAGAAAAAGGATGGGAGAAGAATGTTAAGGGTGGCTACAATGATGACAATTCTTGATAATGTTAGGACAAGAATTCAGAAATGTCAATCATTTGGTAATAGGACTTCAGAAGCTGAGCTGAGGCCATGCAACACGGATCTTAGGCCTAACCATGTTCCGAGGGACAAAAAGCATGGGGAACCGATAGCAGATGAAAAAGAAAGGCTACGAAAAGAGTTAAATGCGAGCTTGGCAGCACGAAAGAGCCTCGAGATAATGTGTTGTAGTTTGGGAAAAGAGAAAGAGATTATGGCCACAGAGCTTTCTAGAAAGGTACATGAATTGAATGGAATGGAAGAGCTTGTCAATGATTTCAAAGCACAAAATGAGACATTGTTGGAAAAGGTACAAGAATGCGCGTTAGAACATAAAGAAAGGGGAGGTGCCGGAGGAAAGCAAGGAACCATAGCCCTCCAAGAACGTAATAAAGTACTCTCGGAACAACTTTTGAGGTCGCTTGATAGATATAAATCCATGAAGAGGAAACTAAAAGAAGCACAAGAAGAATACGGGGGGATGCGTTCAACTATGGATGAAATGGGAACAAAAGTAAAAACGAGCCTTAACAGAGTCCGTAGCTTTAAAGAACGTGTGGCCTCAGGTAGCAATCCACCCGTTGATGTTCAAGAGGAAATCATTGCTTTGGAGCATATGTTTGAGTGCTTCGAAATTATGGTTGCAAAACACGAGCAAAAGAAAGGAGAATGTCTTCAGACAAAAGGAGAGGTCAATGCTCGTAAGCCTTCAGTTCTTGCATGAAACGAAAATGGCAACTTGTAACCAGACAACACAGATCTTGATTTTTGCCAGTACTGTTCTAGTTTTCAATGGTGCATACAAATTTTTTTTCTTAAATTTTGGCATTTAACCGGTCATTTGTTCAGATCTTTAACCTATGTAATGTAAAATAGTACAGTTGCACTACTTACGTTAACAATTTTAGACAATGGGATTATTCGAAAACGAACCTACTCTGCTAGAGAAAATGTAAGGTTCTTAAAATGAATAAAATAAAATTATGATAAAAGAGCGCACCAGGTATGTATACGTTGCTATGATCCAACTTTGCATTGAAAATAAATATATCATTTATGATGCAAGGAGTACAATTACTACATGTCCCAAGCAAGATACAAAAACTAGACTGGTGCATTTATAAACAAGAAAAGGCTCCATGGTGAAGAAACCTCGTTAATCTGCAAGATTTTGCAACTTATGGCCAGCAATGGAGTTCATAATCCACGAATTGCTTGCTACCACTGCTCCAGTGGAACTCGCAATAGACTTGGCATTATTCCACCTGTCATTCAAAATCAAATTTCTATTGGCCGGCTCGCAGTTCTCAGGAAGCTCAAGGCTGTAAATTATAAAGGTGGTTGACACGGAGGATCTGAGCGGTAGAATTGCCCCCTCTCCTGAAACTGGCTTTCTGCTTAAAATTTTCCCCCCAGCCGCTATCACGAGATCATGAAGATATCCTTTACATGAAGGCTCGAAGTCGCCCATAAAGAAGAACTTGAATCCATCAAAGAGCTTCGGTTGCTGCACGTCAAAGTAAAGTCACTACGTAAATCTTCAATACATGACAAGCTCGAGATCATTATAGTATAAGTTATTTATGGAGAATAAATTGTAAGTTAACTTTTCAGAAAATCAACTGCAAAGTCGAAATGTTAGTATCCTAACTTCAGAAAGAGAATGCATACTATGCAGATCAATTGTGGAGAAGAACTAACCTTGTTTATAAGCCTTAATCTTCCGAGTCTAGGGCCGTCCCTGATTCCATGAATGTCAACCCCAATCTCATAATGCTGCTCATTAACGAACTCACCTGATTTCATGCACGCTTTAATCCCTGCAAAAACAAATCAACCAGCATCAAGAGAAAGAGGAAAAAATGCATTGAAGCATAGATAAACCAAAACATTAGTTCATTCAAAACAAGCCTCTTGAGAACCTTCTAGTAGAAATACTTTTGAGTTAATTGCATTCTTGTTTGCAGATAAAAGTAGGACTCACATTCAACACTCAGAATCCATTTCCCTTCCAAGATGCCCATTAAAAATTTAAGGGTTCGTCTGCATGACCCATTCTCATCTGTAGATGCAATGACATGTGTGACACTTAAGTCCCAGCTCTTTAATATTGTAACTCTAGACAACTTTGCGAACTCAGAGACAATTTCCTGCATTTGCACCATCAAACCTCTAAGACCACGGAACAGGGTGAGTTCTGATTGTACCCATTGAAGCTATATATTTGGTTTTTTGTTTACCTTCTCCACATCAGTGAGAGCTGAACAGCAGAGAACCAAGTTTTTAGTTTTTCTATGACAATTCCACTGCAACGTTGTGATACTGTCACATCTTTTAGTGACCTGTGGTTGGTGAATCCGAGACTGTCTGTAATAAAGAGTTATCAGATATTGGGCAAAGTACAAACTTGAAGGTGGGAAGGTGGTGAGCCCAGCAGAACTTTAAGTCCTGGAACAGTGTGTTAGAAAATTAACAAACCTTTCGGCCACAGATTTTCTGTTCTGCTTGGACTGAGATCCCAACATTTCGTTTGGCAATTGACAGGACGCATGAAGAGGACAAAGCATGACAAAATTTTGCTGTAATAGGTGTAATATATAAGTAATCTATACATACATTTTATGGATTTCTAAAATTGAACTTAGTTATCTAACACGTACATAATCCCATCGGCATTCTGGAGTCAACTTAGCACAAGGAACATGAAAGCTCTTGCGGCAACTCTTCTCATAACACCCAAGAGCTGCCCCTTTAATTCCACAACAACAGCATTTAATCCGTCGACTTCTTGTCAATTCAGCTTCAAGATTGATCACATTATCATCTTCAAAAAACACGTTAGGGGCCCTGCAAATATGATTAGCACTTACAAAACATTAGTAGCCAGAAATATGAAGCTTAAAATTGGAAGAAACATAAACAAATCTAGCCATAGCTGATTTACATGAGGCATCAAGATCACATGAAATTTTCGTTGTTTCCAATTCTTGCTTAAGCCAGAAGAAGGCAGTCAAAAGTTAGAGATGGTAATTAGATATTCTTTAATCTTCATACAACAAAATAATATAATCTGATGACCTAAACAACCCAGCACACGTAAAATTCTTCTGGAGACTTCCATACCATTCAGTACAATTCTGGTGCACATGTATGATATCTGAACTTCCATTCTGACTTTCTACAACGAGCTTGCCTTTAAGATAGTGAACCATGACCCCCGAATCCTGAAGTTTTGGTTTTCAGATTAAAAGAAGCATAAACATATGTTGCAAAACTAACAATTGATCTTTAGTAAGAAAAAAAGATGTGGAAGAACAAATGGGGGATATTTGAAAGGAAAGGTAACGTTACCTCCGATTCTTCAGCAGAATTACAGAAAGCGCACTGGATTTTGTTAGGAAATGTCCCGCATTTTCGTAAAAGCACACCACTCAAAGTGGAAGCAGTATTCTCCACTTTTGATGAATTGTTTGAAAGAGCACAATCACGGTTTGCTCGAAAATTTCCAAATGTTTGTCTTTCCATCATAGCCTTCTTGTGAAGATTTTGAGAATTATGTTCACAATTTTCCTCAGACATGCCTTCAGAAAATTTCACCTTCTTCAGATGTCTTAAAAGTTTGTTACAATTTTCTTCACATCTTCTGTTTGCCTCGCCCAAATAAGAAGCATTTTTGTCTTTGCCTAACATGGAAGATTGATTGTTTGAATTGAAAATCAAAATCTCGTTGCACTGGCCTTTACTCATGTCACCCTTACCAGTTTTCAACTTTCCAGCTTTTAATCTATCACTTGCTGTCTGTGGATGAGCAATTGTCTTCTCACTGCTTTTATAGCTTTTGCAACATTTCTTTAGGCGATGACTTCCTGAACTGCATTCTTGCTGATTTAGTGAAGCTGAAAAGTCAGCCAATGCTGTTCTATTACCCATGGTCAAAGGCTCCACCCCATAAGATAAAGTGGCAATGCTTTCAGGGGTTCTCTCATGAATACTAGCCTCAGAGCAATCATTTCGGTTGTTTATAGAGTTTCTCACCTTCAAACTTGAAGCTTTTTTCTTCTTGCCAGACTTCTCTTGCATACTTTGCCCAGTTACATTCTGTAACTCATTGGGATCTCCAGTTACCCCAGACATAGCTCTCATGGATTTCTTTCTTTTACTACTTCCAGTCAAGTTGCTAACTCTTTTGCTAGGCTTCCGTATTCCATGTTTATTGTGTAAGATTTTGCTCAAAGGACAAGATGAAGGTGGAAAGCTAAAATTTACTTTGCCAGACCCCTTTTCGTTACTCTTTTGCCCTCTCTTCTTAGGTCTAAGCTCTAAACAGGTAGTTTCATATGCTGAGGCAGCTTCAGCCTCAACTCCAAAGAGCTCTTCGGTATCTTCAACCTGCACCAGCATAGAAGGCAGCTATCAAGAATGAAAAGAAAAAAGAACCTTGGAATGATAAGATGGGAAAAACATCATTTGAAGCTGTAATTTTCTTTAATGAATTACCTGCATTTCTATGGGGCTTGAACAAAGTTCAGGAGAACAAGGTCTTTGAGTCCATTCAAACATCTCACTGTCAATGAAGTCTGTGCTGTTCGACAAAATACAAGTTTTCCCCTGTACGAGTAGGAAAGCATGTTACAATAACTTTAAGCATCCCAAAACCTTCTATGTCAACCAGAAAAATATAAATTGATTGGAATGCAATAATTCCGTCACGTGAAATTTATGTATCTAGCATGCCCAAAGAAGGAAAGGAAAATTTTAACTATTATGGGTTAAAGTAATACTGTGATGAGATCCAAAAAGATGCAGTGCAGGAAAAAAGAAAGAAGAAAACACAGAAACATATTGATCCATCAAACTATCCTGCTCTGTTTAATTCACAAATGAAGGTAGACAGAGGACTATCAATGTGTTCCATTTTAATGATCTGATTCCACTGAAACTGGAACTATATCACATAAAATGAAATTTGAAACTTACTTTTGGACTTGTTTTACTAGGGACTTCATCATCCGAGTCCTTCATATCACTGAAACAAGGAACATCTAGCGGTGTATAAATGACCTGGTCCCCATCTGAATGTTGACTTGATTTCTCTGCATGGTCCTCCTCTCTCAGCCAGAAGAATGGAGTAAAAACAGGATCCCCCTTTTCATTTACAACATGCATGTCTTTCTGTATGACATGAGGTTTCCGAGGTTCATTCATGGAAATTCCATTAGTTCTAACTTCCAGCTTTTCATGCTGCGTTGGGCTCTCTAAAGATAGATACTCCGGTAACTGAACCCTTTTCTTAGTAGGAAAGGAAGGTTTCATAAAGTCTGAACCACAATCTTTCTGGTTACTTTTCAATCCTTTTCTTTGACATTTTTTCTGATTTTCAGGGTCTATAGTCTCCATGGGAACTTTTCCATTATCTTGGATCTCACAAATTTTACGAGGATCTGGTTGTCTCTCTTCATCTGTAAGTACAGAAAACAATGGCCATGCAACCTAATTAGCAGATTAAAACAATGAAAGGTATCACACCATTTTCTGGAAATCAAGACATTTATGCTTGTGCTGATATTTCATCTGACCTAGGATCTAGGTCATTGAAACTTTATTCTTATTGGAGGTAATTGATGCGAAGAGGTTGTGTATGTGAAAATCAACTGTCCGTGGAATTGGCAGAGGAGTAGCCAGTGCCATTCCCCTATCTAATCCATGGATGTGAATTGTTGGAGCAAGTTTTTGTCATACCCTCAGTGAATACTTTTTTGGGAAAAGTAATTTATTCCTTTTTAAGTTCGTCCCCTTAGGAAAAGTCCCAGTTTCATCCATGATTAAACTACGGTACACATGCCAACATACAGTCATTTTATCATCAGGCATTGTCTTTGATGTCAAACAACATTACCCTTTCTTCTCTGAACTGACAGTTATTTACAGGCAAGAATCCGTATGACTAATACTCGGTTGAATAAGAAATGACTGAGCTACTTCCATCACCGCAAATAAGTCAACTCATAAATTTGGTGTTGCTGTCAACCTTCTGTTAGTTGACGGTAACACTAACTTATTACCTGATAATTTAGCTGAAGTTGCAGTTTGAGTGACAAATAGATTGACTCCAGAGGCAACTTCCATGCTCTTGTATATGTTGACTAAGTTATCCATATGAGGAGCAGGTCGAACTTCTGAGAGAGAAAAAAAGACGGCATAAGGCATACGTAAATAAATGAAACAGCACAAAGTTGATGAATTCCATAATATGAGTTATGCTTGCAGCAAACTAAACAAACCATCTACTTATATACAGAAGATGTAAAATAACAAGTCAAGGCAGGCCTTTCAAACAATTAGAAGAGATTAAACTTGTAAAAAAGCAATCGCCAATCTTAGAGCAAGTGTCATCTTGAGTTAACATTAAATTTTTTAACTAGCTTCCTCTTAAATATTAATGCTGGATCATATGGTAATTGATAATAAATCTTATAATTTCTATGATGATTAATGATTTAAAAATGTTGCACAACTTTCATTTGATATGCGATTTGAGCTTGGAAAATATTAGGCTGCAGTTAGCAGCATGGAATTCAAGGGCAATAATATGGACATAATAGTTTACAAGATTAAATTATTTCCAATTCTTAGGTCCCCATTAATTTTACAAGATTAAATTAATTCCTGATGCCAGAATTCCAATCCTACTATGAGTTTCCGAGCATGACAAAGTAAAAATATTACCTCTGCGTCGATATGGAAGTTTGCACACTGGACAATCGGATGCTGATCTCATAGATTTCTCCAGACATGAACTGCGTCATTAAACAAATGCATTAAATCGAGTCCCTCGACGTGTATAAAAGACATGCTTAAGCAGAAGAATGTAGTGCATAGTGCTTACTTGCAAAATACATGATTGCAGGTAAGTGAAACGGAGGAATTCAGTAGACTCAAGCTGTCGTAATAGAAAAAAACATTTGAATCAATTATAACCAATTTAGTTCGCAACTAATTTATAATAATTCATATTGTGATAATTCGACTCAAGAACCAAGAAACCTTCAAAGTATTTAGAAATAGTAAACTAAGCTCAAATTCTTGCTAAATTAAAATGATTCGACCCTAAAAAATGTTGAAACAAACACTAATTCGGTTAAAACGAGAACCCGTTAGAAAATTTAGGAAATAAAATAAGAACCAAGTGAGAGTATAGAAATAAAAACATATTTACCAGATGGGGCATTTGAGCTCTCCGCCCATTCTTTCTAGATGGGATGTGTCAGCCATTTTTCACTGTTTTCTGAAACACGGTGGCCTCTGTTTCTTTTGTGGGCAATGGAGAGAAAAATTGATGCAATAGGAAGGTGAAACTTGAAAGAGACGATTGCAATGGCGCGTTTTTAGTGAGAGGAAAATATAAATCTTTTGAAATTTTACCGGGCCGCGCCGAAATAGTTTGTTTGAAACTTTCCCAGCGGGAAGAGTAGGCCAGGGCGCCAGGCATTGGTTCTGGACTAACCCCCACCCACCAAGAGGCAAGAATCAATTCGAACAGCATCGATTTTTGGATATTTTAACAATTTCATTAATTTTATTGGACTCACAACTTTTCGAACACTCTTTTCATTAATTTTATTAAAATCTATTAAGGCCCTGTCTGTTTGTGCTACTAATCAGAATTTTGGCCGTTGAAAACACTATGCAACCGCAACATTGGATTGAACTCTCTCTTGGTGGGGCCCAAAAGGTTGAAAAAAAGGGGCAAAAAAGCGATTTTTTGGGGGAAAAAATCGGAATCAGACAGGTTCTAAAAATCTAATTTTAGCCCCTGTTTCTTTCCAATGAAAAGCAAAATTTGAACCGTTGCTTGTAATTGTGAGCCACAATATTTGACCATTTTGTGTCATAGTGGGCCCCACAATTTTTTAAAAAAAGGGTAAAAAAAAAAGCATTTTCTTGTTGAAATAATTGAAAACAAACTGGGGCTTAATCCCCACCAAACAAGGGGCATAATCAAAATTTTGGGGGTTATTTGTATCGGTAATTGTCGAACTTTATACCTAACTGCCATGAGATCACTATACTTCAATTGATATCAATCGAGCTATTTAACTTTAATATAACAGCAACAAAATCACAATGTTCGTGCACTTAGTTAATTGTAATAGCAATCACTCATCTTTTACCACAACTACAATTAGGTCACTAGACTTCAATTTGTAACAATCTGATCATAATTTAACAATCAAAGCACCATGTTTGGGGGTCATGAGATGACGTAACAAATTTGATGATGTATAAATTAAAAGTAATGAATTTTGAAATTTGAGCTCCATTTAAATATCAATTTACAAAAACATTTGAATACTGTAATTGAATGTGTGTTGAAATTTTTGCATTTTTTGCTTACAAATATAAAAGATAAATTTTGGAAGGGAGGTGAACGGTATTTTAAAACAAGTGATGTTAACCTTCAAATATGGTGAGACCCAACACGTCTTGTACGTTACATGTACACATTGCGTTGATATATACCATTTTCGCACAATGAAGCATTACATTACATTATCATTCTATTTCTATTTGCAGATAGGAGGTGAGTGACAACATTACAAGGCACAATCAATTAGGTACAATGAATCTAAAAATAATCCTAACAAACGAGTTAACTCTTCAATACATTCCATTGTATCCACGATATTCTCCATTGGGACGTGACAAATAATGAGGGAAGCCCGTTGAGAAATTGGAAAAAGGGGGGAAAAATCTACTCGAAAAGTTGCCAGTTAGTCGTGGTGGTGTTGCATAGTTGATCGAATGTTTCCCACTTGGTTGTCACTATAACAGGTTTTTCCCTTTCATTTGATACCTTGAGCACATAATCTAGGGTTTCCACACACTTGTGCACTCTCTTGCCCTGTGAACAAAACACATCAATCCAATTGTTAATCCGAAGCTTTGATTGGTTCATACTTCCAATTGACTCTAACGCATTTCGGAGTGCTTATAAGTGACTGTATCCTATGACTCATAAAAAATGTATAGATTTTATGTGAGTACTGATTGCGGGTCCCATGAACAAAATCAATATAATGGAAAAAAATACGAGGAATTCAACTGTATGGACTCTAGCATTATCGAATCGTCCTAACGTTCTCCACTCAACAAGACAACAATTTCAAAGAGACGATGCTTTTGCACAACATTTTGTTTGGGAGTTTTCTAGAAAAATCTTCACACAGTCTACTGATATAAAATGTAAAAAATAAGAAAAATCAAGAACATGGCACGATACCTGGAAATCCTTGAGTGCACATGCATCTCCTTCTGTTGAGATGCTATCTAGCTTCACAGCTTGTCTCATTAACATCTCAGTTAAAGTGGTGACCCGTAATTCTGCTACTTTATCACCACTTGCAATTGATTTCTCTATTGCAGATACCTATAATCAAATGATAATAAGTCCATGTTTGAGCCACATTAAAATTTTTATTTTCATTCCTCTACTTATTTTCAACCACACATTTTTCAATAAAATAATATTTTCCATCACATCAATAACTTTTCCTTTTTTTTTTAAATCACACATTCTCCATCAATCTACTATTCCAAAATACATTCTTCCAAAATAACGTGGCTCAAACACACCCTAAAACTACAGACGAATTTATGCCTTATTTTTTAAAACTTTTTTTTTTCACACTCATTTTTAGCAAGATTCACATTTTTTTATCAACTTTTCAATCATATAACGTATGGACAGACGTGCAAGAGAACATTAGGTACCATTCGTGTTACGAATTCTTCACGTGAATTTGGATCTAAAATTAAGTGACTAGACAAATTTACTCTCAAGAATATGAAAATTCATCATTTGGTCCCCGTCCCCGTCCCCTCTCTAAGATCAGGTTGGACCACCCACTTACTGGGCTAGATTATTTAGTTGGGTCCAATACGACCTAAACTGGGAACCGGGCCACCTAGCATATTCTTTTTCATTGTGTAATATAGTTAGGGATGGCAAAAAAATTCGTGAGTACGGGGCGGCTCGGGCTAGGTTCGGAAAAAGCCCGAGCCGAGTACAGGGCGGCTCGGGCTAGGTTCGGAAAAAGCCCGAGCCAGGCTGGATTGCATCGAGCCTGGTCGAGCCCATTTTGGCCCTTGTTCGGCTCGTATAAATTAAAAAAAAAAAAATTAATTCAAAGCTACAATTAGCAGCTGCCTCATGGGAAGGAGTTATAAGAAGAAAAAAAATACCTATTTACTAGTTTCTTGAAATGAATAGGAATCCTTTGCAGACACTGCTGCCTATTTCCTACAAAAATTTAAAAAATAAAGATTTGACTTACCTATTATTTTACATGAATTAAAATACAAAAAAATTAAAAATGTTAATGCCTTTGATTCCCCTTTTTTCAGTTTATTTATTATTGTCAGTTCAATTATTGCTGATACATTTCGCTTTCATAGATACCTAATCTATGTAGCGACTTTCCCAGTTCTAAAGAAGATGCATCAATTTAGCATCTTGGAAGTACATTTCCTTCGGTCTCTGGTGTGCCATTCACTGAGCTACTATTCAATTCATTTCAACATCATTCATGAGAAGAATATATAAACGATTTAATTTATCAATTGTGGATCCATCAAAGAGTATAATTTATTTTCGGATAGGCTCGGCCCAAAAAAACTAGAGTCGAGTCCGAGCTTCTTTTCCCGACTCGAGTTCGGCTATGCTCGTTGACATAGCTAGGCATAGTGGAGGATATAATGGTCCAAATTGCGGTGGTACAAGCCTTCTACATAATAACGTATGATATACTATTATTTATGACTAGTGCTCACCTGATCCGCCAGCTTATCAACCTCTTCAGTTACGTCATTGATTAAGCGATGAACGGTCTGGATCTTAACATTCCGACGCATCTCAATGAATCTTCTCTCGATGCTTTCTGGATCCTCGATTAGTATGACTTTTGAGCGGTCTTTGACTCCACAAATATCCAGATACTCTCCATTTTCTCTCTCTTTTCCTCTGAAAATAATCCTCTGTTCACCAGGTTGTAGCCCGGTCTCTACCGTTAGCAGCTTCTTCAATTCCCCTGCATGCCATGAACAAACAACCCAATGTATATTTAAATTTACATGCACGAATTTCATAAATGGTATAGCGTAGTCGTGCTTTCAATTACATTGTTTAGCTTAAAATATTAGAGCGACCCCGACTGGAAGTCGAGAGAATTAGAGTCACACCGTACAAAGTCTTACCGAATGTTGCTAGTGAGTGTGCAGCGATCTCGTAGCGAAGGGCACCATAAGCTACTCTAATACGCAATTTTGGAGATGGAACACCAAAATTCCCACTTCTTTGCTGCACCAACATGCCACCGGGCCTCATTTCACACTTTACTTCTTCTTCTTTCGACCCACGCGACGACGTTGTCGCCGCATTTTCGCTCTTCCCACCATTGAAATTCAATCTTCTCTTAATCATCTCTTCTTGTCCTTCTTCAAGAAAAACCCAGAATAATAAATAAATTCACGAGAGGGAGAGAGAGGCGATTGCTTAGAACATATAACGGCAATGAATGAAATGGAAAAGGGAGATTGACCAATGGGGAGAAGACAGGAGTCTCTTCAACTGCTGTGACAGCTAAGCAAGCATTGCCGACAATCCAAGAAATTATCCAGGTTTTTTTGCATTTGAAGGAGGAGTTTTGGATTGGGCCACTTGCTCTTGTGCTATTGGGAACTTTTACAAATGTAGGCCCAATAATGATTATGAGGTTTTTTATCGGTTAGTTCGAATCTGAATTTGGTGCAAGTTGTCACGAGATTACAGTTATGGGAAATGCTATTCATCCCCAGTGAGGATGCATTCTCAATTTATGTGGCGTTAATGTGACATTAAATGATATGTGAAATTAAATAAGTCATTTAATTTTACTTATCATTTACATCCACATAGATTAGGGATGAATAACATTTTTCTACAGTTATTAGATAATTCCAATATTCAACTTTCTTCGAGTGGAAAGTTGGAGCTCACACGAAAAGATTTGTTAGGAACTCTTGTAAGGTACATGTTACCGAGTTCGATAAAAAACATAAATTATTTATATAATTGATTCACAATCTTATATAGTGAACGAGTCAAACCTCATACCTTCTTATATAAGTCGACAATGGAATCTTTTCTTTTAGAAATAGGTTTTGTTGCCTTAGCACATAGAGATTTTGATCACTTACTTCTTTGTAGCCAACTAGGAACAAGTTAATTAATATTTACGTGCTTTGCGGGAGCCACAATAACTCTGGTGTAAATCATAAACTCCTCCATAACTATGTGATCGTGAACCCAATGTAGCTCTACTCATGTCCACAAATTATGCTCGTTTCAATCCTTTGGCTCGTGGACCGAGTAGAGCCATTGACGAGCTGCTTGCATTATTGTAAAGAAAAAAAAAAGGTTTTCTACTCGACCAATGACTGGTCTCAAAACGAATTAGAATCGCCTAAAGATCAAGTTAAGACAAGCCCGCTCGTCCCCTGTTTGCCCCCCTAGCAACATATCGGCCCTGTCCTAGCCCATGCCTACCTAGGTAGTGGTCTTAGGCCTCAAGATACGAGGCCTCAAAAAAAAAAACAGTCATTATTTGGTTGAACGCGAGGATTTGGTGCCTTGTCGACTCGACACTACATTTGGGGAAGATAGTACAGGAAATTGTGAAAATTTCTTGCATCAAATATTTTCTTCAAGATGTAGTGCACATAAAAGGAGAACGTCTATTCTTGTTTTTCAGATGGTAGTCACCATCCCATACCTCACTAGTTTTCACTAGGACTGTAAATGGATCGGATAAAGCATATCCAATACGATCCGATAAGAAAATTACATGATCTGATCCGATAATCCAACGTATATTTGATTGTTAAATCCATATATGAATTGCTATGTTATTAGATATTCGATCCGATAATCCGAATCGAAATTAATAAAAATTATGAAAAAAAAATCAATGTTGGAATCAAATCATCATATATTGAACAAAAAATTGAAAATCGTCAAGTAAAACGTTAAACTGGCCACTTAACCGTAAACTGATAAACTAGGTTTTTCCATAAAATAAAATAAAATGTTAAACTGGCCACTTAACCGTAAACTGATAAACCAGGTTTTTCCATAAAAAAATTTGAACTAACTTGAGACCCACATATTTTTACTAGCAAGCCCAATAGTGATTGCTTCTACCATCATGATGCTCCTTTTTAATGGAGAAATTATCTTCTAGTTTTCTATTGACATTCGATGTGGGATAAAGTAAAATTAAATTTCAATTCTAAATATAAATATTTTATTTCATTATTTTCATTAACAAATCTAATAATTTGTTACATATTAATTATTAATTTTTGAAGTTGTAAAATAAATTACAATAATAAATTTAATTAAGAAAAATATAGATATTTATTTACATCAAATTAGTAAACTCAAATTTAAAAAATCTAATGTTTTTATAATATTTTACATTTATGTGTATAATTATTTATTCAATTTGATAACCGATTCGACACCGGTTCGACTTTTTGACCCTTGACCATCTTCCTTTTCCAGGTCAATGCCCAGGTTGATTTTTAAAGCATTGGTTGAAACCAACTTTTTTTTTTTCAAATTTTCTAATCAATTATTTATAACAANTTTACTGACTCAATTATTTATAACATATATGATCGGATTGTTATCGAATTGAATTGACCTATATCCATAATTGATCCATCTAATTAAAGGATTATCAGATTCAAATCTTGATTGAGCTATCGGATTGAGACCCTAAATCCATCTCCAATTAATTTTGTCGATTCAGATCAAAATACAATCAATTGACATCCCTAGATTTCATAAGCTCTGTGTTCTGTCTTCTGAATGAAATTGATTCTCGGACAAATCAAATAGTGAGTATCGTCGGTAATATGTTCCTCGTCACCAGAAACAGTATTTGAATCGATAATCGTTGATGCTAAAGAGATTGCTATAATGCTACGTTTGTTAAACATATATGTTTAGAGTTTTATAATAATTTTTCACTCAGGACCTAAATTTTTAGGACGACCTTAGCAGCCTTTATGTCATTGTTGCTAACGGATAACTTAATATAACGAGTGATTAATAATTCAATTTCAAGATTTTTAGTTTAGAAAGCGATGAAAAGTGTCCTTGATTGTTAGTGATTTTCGGTTTTATCTTTTGTTTTCTAAAATAAAATGCAAAAACTAACAAAGATTACTTCTCAAATTTTCATTGGCAGAATTGAAATAGTATATATATATATATATATGTGTGTGTGTGTGTGTGGTTAAGTAGCTTGTTTGGAACTTTCTTCGCATTTCGATGATGGTGTTTCGTGTTTTTAGATTTTTCTTGCATTTTATTGTTTTTTTCTAAATTTCCTTTATATTAATATGTATTTATAGAACGCGACGGACATTCGTTATTTTGAAAAAATATATGGAAAAATTTCATAGACAAGAGATTAACTATAACCCATTTAAAATTAAGAAACAAGTATTAAAATTTCAAAATCAGATATCATTAAATTTTTATTTGCGAAATAATTAATTAAAATACATTTTATTAATCAAATATATCAAAATCACAATTCTATACAATTTGCTCGCAAATCAAAAAATTTATAGGTTTCAAATTATTTTATGATCACAGATAAAAAAATTTATAGATCACAATTTATTTATCGATCACAAATTACCAAATTAATAGGTCGAATATTAATTTTAAGTTATAAATTTTATAAATCACAATTTATTTCACGATAACAAATTATCAAATTAATTGCTTGAAAATTATTTTTCGATCACAAATTATTAAATTAATTAGTCATAACTTAAAAAATTGTAAGTCACGAGTGCAAATTTAATTGGATTATCACATTTTTATGCACATATTATTTATTAGTCACAATTAACCAAATAATTGGTTGCAAACACTTTTCTTTTCATCCCACTCCCAACCATTGCTGCTATTGCCACAGCCACGACCATCGCCACGAATTGGCTAACATAACCAACGAAACCCACCCCAAAAACCAACCAGCGGCGCAATGTCACCATCATCTCAGAGCACCGCCAACACCACCATAGATCGCACCACCACAGCCAACACCACCATAGATCGCACCACCACCAACTGCACACAACCAATAAAACCCACCGGGAAAAAATAACCTTCACCGCCAACATCGCCACCACCTCACGAGCACCACCGGCACCGTCACCGGCACCGTCACAACCTGTACAACTACCACCACCACCTTACACACAACCAACAAAACTCACCCCAAAATTTTCGGCACCAAATTGTGGCCAGATTTCTCCAGATCGATACCAACAAAACTCCAACATTAGATCCCCATATTACAACCAAGTTTTCCGCAAATCCTGTGTCTACGTCGCTTACAGAGGCGATCAATAGATGCCACTGCGTGCATTACACAGCAACCGCTCTCTCAGTACTGTGTAGTGGCGACGCGTCATCGTAGCTACGACGTCTGCGGTGATCTTTGACAATTTTTTTTCGGTAGAGAGAAGGAAGATGTTAGAGAGGAGATAAGGTAGATGTGGAGAGGGAAAAGAGAATAGGATTATAGAAAAATGATTAGGGGTCGTTCTTTTCGGGTTTTAATTTTGTGTTTTGTGTGTCCATTTTGAGATTGTTGAAGATGCGTTCTTTTTGTCATTTTAACCAATTATTTTCAAAATTAAAAAACATAAAACTCGTTCTCCCCTCCTTCCCTCTCTTTCGTCTATGTATCCGTCGCCAACAACCATCATCATCCCCTGTAAAGACCCGCCACACCCTCTATCACCACCATCTCTCTCGTCTCTGTTCCCACTCACTTCGATGACTCTCTATAGATGAAGCACAACGACGTTGCCCTTACAACGTCGTTTTTGGTGTTGATGATGGAGGTAATTGGATCAGCTGTACAGTGCCACACTTGGAGCGGGGGTGGTTGGTGGTGGTCGCTCAGTCGTGTTCGATGCTACAATTCTTTGTATTTCTGAGGTTCTTTTTTGTTGGTGGTGGTAGTTTTACTGCGATTTTTTGTTGGTGATCGTGTTGTGGCGGGGGCGAGAGTGGTCATGGGTTTTGTTGGCGGTGGTGGAATTTTTAAAATACCGAAAATGTATTTTGAAAATTTTGACTTCATTTTAACTGAAAACACCAAAAATGACATTTTTGCCGTTTTCGATTTTATTTGTAAATTTTAAACTCGCTTTAGGAAATTTGTTTTTGAAAATAAGTAAGTAAACGTGTTTTCACTGTTTTGAAAAATCGAAAATAGAAAACGGGTTGAAAATGGTAAAGAGAACAGCCCTTTAGGGTTTTGGATGGTTGGTTGGGTCGTTTTATATGTATATTAATTTAATTTTGTAATATAATTATTAATATTAAAATTTTGAATCAATATATGAGTT